AACTTCGATCATCCACGAGTTAGTAAAATCAGGCTGAAGAAAAACAATGGCGTTAGAACTTTTTTACTTATAAAACAGAAGCATTGGACTTGACATTAATATGACAAAAGCAGGATAATTGTGTAATAAGATGATTACAAAGGACATTTCATCCAAAGAAGAAAGCTTGAAGTATGTCCACTATCAAGGAGATGTATCCACAAAGATAATGAAGATGTTTTCAGTATTTACTGTTTTTACTCTTCACACCTACACATCTCTTTCCACCAGAGGAAATATTTCTAGTACAATTTCTGAGGTGCTCTTTACCTTCTAAAATACAAATTCAGCACATCTTTCAAAATGAATGTGTTTGTAGTCCCTAACATATCAAACTAAATTATTCATTCTTCTCAATCCTACCACAAACATTTCACAAAAATCTGTGAAAATAAATTCCAGATCATTAAAGGGAAAGGTGAAATTGGGGGTCGTTGTTTTAACATTTGTCTGAACTGTTTGCTAAACCTTTGAATCTTTCATTATACACATCTTTTCAGCCACATCAGAAAATAATTCTTCATATCTTGCACTCAAATGATACTGTTCTACTTTTCTCTCCTGCATCAAGTTTTTCTTTCCTTTCTCCTCCTTTTCCTTCTCCTTCTCCTTCTTCTTCACCTTCTTCTTCTTCAAAGCAAGTCACTGTACAGATACTTATTCTCTACACCACTTCCCTTTTGAAACATTAAACTGACACTGGAACTGACTGCACAAGATTGCATTTTCTCTTCCTAAACAAGTTGAATTGAAAGGTTACTTAGTGTAACAATATTTACTTGCAGAATTGTGTTGTAACCAAGGGTATAATGGATGGTGGCTATGCAGGTTTACGCAAGAATGAGTGAAGCATGAGGCATTAGCCATGTGTTTGACATGTTTCAAATTGCTATAATCCAGCATTAAACACACCCAGCAATTCATGCCATTTCTTGCAGCCATATTCTTGAATAAAACGTGCACAACCACTTATTATATAAATTAGTATATGACTCCCTGTTATAGTCACAACAGTGCTTTTGTGTTTATTTTGCATCAAGATGTAGTCTTTTATTTGTACAAATAGCAGGATATAAAGACATAGCTCAATTAGACCTCCTTACTTTATGATAGGGTAGTACTAAATGCTAGACTTCTTGGTTTTATTTTTCCTCTTAGAGTTATAGGTTTCATTGGTATAAAACTGTACTATGTGAGATAGACATTTGCCAGGCAATAACCGAAACCTGCATATATCCTATTCCATATTCACTACAATGATCAAAAGTTTGAAACCTGACCTGTTAACTGTTATCTCAACCACCACCAGGGACACTATTGGTCCTTGTTGCTTACTCAACTTTCCTTGAGGACTTCTCTCATCATTTCTCTGCCTCTCTCATTTTTTCTATGGTCCTCTCTGCCTTCATCTTTTTCACCATCTCCACCCCTGCCCCTCGATGTGTGTGTATGCATATGTATGTATATGGATAAATGATAGATAGATGATAATAGATAGATGATGATAGATAGATAGATAGATGATAGATAGATAGATAGATAGATAGATAGAAAGATAGATAGATAGATAGATAGATAGATAGATAGATAGATAGATAGATAAAACTGTATATATTAAGGATGATAAGAAGAGAGAAAGAACCTCTACACTTCCCTCTGCACTCCCTGACCAACACACACAGACACTTCATCTTATAATCTTGATGCTTTACTGTTAAACCTCAATTTTTGGCATGTTATCATGTAATGAAAAAATGCACAAAAATGACTTTCTGAAAAACTAATAATAAATAATAGTACATATAAAAAGTGTATAACAATTTATTTCTGTGAATTTTTCTTAAAATTATAGTGACATTAAAAGATATTTTATGTATGGTGTCTGGCTTCTTCCAGTTTTAATTTATTTTACCAAATATATACATTAAATACAAAATATCTGGAATGTGGCATTTATATAAAAGTATACCATAAGATTAAAAAGTTATAATATATTCTCAAATAATTTTAATCATTAAATATTATCAATATTAAACATTATTAAATATTTCTTTGCAGATTCACACAATAAATGGTTCAATATGAGGAAAACCTACATATGCAACAAAAAAAATCACATACCCTTACCTCAAAATATCAGCTAAATTCTGATTTTTGTAAACTTGACTGTGATATAAAACTTCTGTTAAAACACTATCATGAATGAAAACTTTTGTGCTCTAGTGGGATTAATTCATTATGGATACTAAACACATTGCTTTTAAAATCTCTTACTGCTTTGTTAAAAGTCTTTAATGCTAAAATTGCCTAATAAATCAAAATGCCAAATATAAAGGACATATTTGAATGTGTAAGAAAAAAAATTGAACAAGAATGTGAATATTTTTATTTTTAAAAATTGAAACAATGCCCTTTTAGGCATAATTTGGGAAATGTTATCAGCTGTTAAAGCAAGTGACAT